TCCTTCAAAGCAGCCTGAACTTCTTCTTTCATCACCATAGGCTCTTGCTCATATGTCGTTTCATGAAATTCTTCTGTCTTCCAATTTCTTTCAGGACAGGATACAATATCTTAAAACAGTTTTTCATGAGTGCTCGCAGGCCCCTCAGCCTTGCAGCTTTAGGCCAGTGTTACAAAGCTCTTAGTCCTATCAGTTATGGTGTCTTCACCTAGTTTCCCCACAAACTTTAGCAAAGGCCTCTACCTCTAGTTCTTTTGGGTAGCAGTCTCAAGGTGAATGCTGTCTCACATCATTGGGTATCTGGTTCTCTGCTGCAGCTTCTGCTCCATTAAGCCCTGTTCTGAGGCACACAGGAATCTTAGGCCCTGAAGGATGTGTGCACTGCATCTTCTGCTGCTTTGCTGGTAGTGATATTTCCAAAGTTCTGCTGCTGAACTAGTTTAATGGTGAGTCGAGCTTATCCACCTATAGATAGACTATCACATTCTATAATCTCGCCCATCCTTTTGGCAAAGTCAAAGTCAGTGGATAGAATAGCCATTTACAACAATAAACCCTTGACACCCCAAAATGGCAGAGAGAAATGCTTAACATATTTTGACCATTTGTGTTTTAAAGAGTAGACTGCATCTGGTTGGACAGAAAGGGGTCATTAAAGGTTTTTGAGAACAATGAATAAATGGAAATCCAAGTTCTTTATAAACTTACAATAAAATCTCAATTTTAAAAAAAGGTTTTGAGGAAGAGGATGCCTCAGAACATTTTGAAGCAGATTGTCCAACAGTGATGTGTGGGTGATTGACCTGGGGGAAACTGGAGATCAAGAGTAAAAGGGTAGAGCCATGGTTTCATAGTCAGCTGTGGGAATGGAAAGGAGGAGTTAAGAGATCCCCTCAAGAAATCCGAAGATACCTTGATTAAAGCCGAAAGAGATGAGAGTAAGGAGTTAAGGGTTACCCCTCAGGCACTGGTTTACAGATCTCTTCACTTAATTCCCCCCAAAAAACTTAATTTTTTTAAATGAAAAGAAAAAATATTACCAAAGTACCTTGTTTTAAAATATAGATTGTAGGTCCATTCTCCTCCAAAATAATTATTTTTAAAATTTTTATTTTATACTGGTTTCCTTACAAAGTATATATCTATATTTTTTACATCAGATCTTTGCTATTTCCTTTACCTACTCCTCCCTCTACCCATCAAATTGTGCGACCCTATGATTACCCCCTTGCCCATCCTCACCCCTCTGTTCCTATCCTCCCCCTCTTGGATCCTCATACTTGTTTTATCTTTCTGTTTTTATAATAATGGTCTTGTACAGTATTTGTCCTTATGAGATTGAGTTAGTTCACTTAACATAATGCTCCTTAGTTCCTCCTAAGTTAGTCATTTTTAACATCATTGCTCCTGTGTACTGCGTAGTATCCCATAGTATGAATGTATCATAATTTCTCAATCCATTTGATTACAGTTGGACATTTGGGCTGTTTCCATGTTCTTACCATGGTGAATAACATTGCGATGAATATTGATGTACAATCTGTGTCTCAGTTCTAATTTTCTTGGGGTATATCCAAGCAGTGGAATAGCTGGGTCATAAAGAATTTCTAGGGTTCAGCTTTTTGAGGAAGCACCAAACTGCCTTCCAGAATGGTTGCACCATTTTACAATCCCACCAACAGTGTAAAGAGTTTCTATCTCTCTACATCATGTCCTCTTCAACATTTATTACTTGCTGCCCTACTATACTTTGCCATTGCTACTTTGGGCAAGATGGAAAATATGGAATGCTTCACAGATTTGCATGTCATTCTTGTGCAGGGGCCATGCCAGTCTTCTCTCCATCTTTCCAATTTTAGTATATGAGCTGCCGAAGTAAGCACCAAAAGAGTTTTTAAAAATTCTGATTCCATAAGTCAAATATGGAGTCAGGAATCCATGTTTTTAACAGACACCTCAGAAGATTGAGAAAAATAATTTTCTTTTTAAAATTATCCCCCTAGTTCTCAAATCTGTGAGATTTAGATGACCTTCCAGTGTACAAATGGAAAGGTTGGGTAGAGAGGCCAAATTAGGAATTAAACCTGACGCATCGTGTTATTGTGGCCTCCAGTTCGTGTTTCCATATCTCTGTCTTTCCCTCCCAGGACTGTCAGGCAGAATGGAGTTGAGCTGAGGAAAGATGCAAAGAAGCAGACATGGCAATTTTGGGTTTTAAGGATTGTTTCCTTTTAATTTTGCATCATTTTTCATTTCATTTTTCACATCAACAGAGTTGGGTTTTAGGGTTCCCCAGGAGAGCAAGGGAAAAGGATGGGTTGCTCCCAGGGGTGCACAGGAGAGGGCTGCGTCCAGCGGATGAAAGGAAGGGGTGGGGGGAGGGCACACACTCGTACACCGGGCACTGGAGGAAAAGGCAGTCCTTTGAGCACACTCACCAGAGAATGAAACAGTCACCACCTGGTTCAGTTACAAAATGAGGAGAGGAACCACAGGGCAAGGGCGCCAGACGCAGCATGAGGAAGATGAATTTGGATTTTCTTTTTTTGTTGTTGTTATTTTTCACTTTTTTTTCCTTTTAACATTTTTGTTAACATTTTTACAAACAGCTAGAAACTACAACACATCACAGCTACAGTGAGGAGGGCACCAGAGAAAGCGGTCACACAGAGTGGAGTGAAACAGGGCAGCTTAACCTACAGGGTCGGTTGTGTGGAAGGGTGAGATGGGGAAACTGAGGCTTCTGGTCCCTGCATTAGGGGTCCCTCTCTTACTGCCCAGCCTCTCCTCACTCTGGGAGGAGTTACCAGGAGGGCCCCTGCCCCAGCTCCTTGTGCTTTTGGATCTGCTGGTTTGACCTTATGCCTGGTTTCTTCTCCCCGAACCCCATGCTGGTGAGGGGACAGGGTAGGGGGTGAGAGGGCAGCTGTGCTGTTCCAGTCTGTGCAATGGTGGGTAGAGCCTCTCACTCCAGAGGCGACCTGTGCTTCTTGAGAGAGCGAAAGAGCTGGGCCTTGCCCTCAGGTCTCCCTAGACTGTGGGACTGATATCCAGACTGGCTGAGTACTTGTCCTCCCAGGCTGGACACAGAAACACGATCAAGGGAGGTCCTATGAGAGGCAGGGTTGTGTGTGTGCCTGTTGGAATGACCCTTGGCAGATATCTTAGGACAGCATAGTGACATCCCCTCCCCACGGCACATACACACGCATATATAAGTGTACACACACACTCACACACACACAGTCCTGCTGAGCTGCCTCAGAACTTAATATATAAATAAAGAAGAGTTGGAAAACGAACTTCATAAAATTTAGGCTTCATACTTGTAGCCTAAATCAAAGGGGGCGGGGGGAAGTGGAAGCAAGGGGGCTGAGGTTTATTGCTGCTCCCCCAGCATCCAGTGGGAGGTGTAAGAGGGCACCCAAGGCCCTTCCACTTCTAAGAAGTTCTTTTGGTCCATAGTCTGCACCCAAGCCCCAGCCCCCAGCATAACCATATGCCCCGTGGTTCTCCAGGGTCTACTGAGTGGTCCAGGGGAAATAAAGGGGAAGGCAGGAAGCCTTTTCTGGAACCCCTGAAGCAGGGAAGAACAAGGGTCCCTCACTAACACTGGGGGAGAAGGGTGGGGCTAAGCCTTCTCTTGTGCAAAGTCAAGGGTGGGGAGTATAGCTTCCTCCCAAAAGTAGGATGAAGGAGTGTTCCTGTAGTCCCTGCCCATGGGGCTCACACACATGCACACGCATACACATACAGCTAAGACACCAAACACAGCGGACAAGGAGAGGGTCATGAGGGCTCTGGGGGTGGGGATGGCAGGGCAGGGAGGGGAAGGAGGAGTGGTTGGTCTCACAGTGTGCCTACTACCCCCGGAAGCTCCAGAGACACCCCCTTCCCCTCACTGCAGCACCTGCCCCCGGGTCTCAGGCAGCTTCAGGGCCAGGGAACTGCCGAGGGCAAGAGCAGCTGAGGCAAAGAGGATAGGGGCCGCCTTGGTGATGCCCACAAATGATGTGAAGATACTGATCCCCAGCACAGCAGCCAGCTTGCACAGGGCATTCAGGAAGCCGAAGGCTGTGGTCCTGCTCCAGAGTCCGCCAGCACAGCGCACAGAAGCCCAGTCCGTGACAGGAATCAGAGCCAAAGGGACATGAGAGGCAAGGGAAGGTTTATGGAGAGAAGAGTGGAGGGTGGGGAGGTGAAGGTGAGATAGCAGCAGCAGACAGGAGGGAAGATGGAGAGGTGAGGGAGGGACACCAGGGAATAGAAAGAAATTGAGGGCAGGGAGGAAGAAGACCAAAGAACGAGGTGAATAGTAGATACGAAGGGTAGAGACAAAAGCTACCAGCTTTTAGAAAGAAAACCCAATGGCAAAGTGTATCCTCTGGCCCCCTACGGAGGCTTTTCCCACTCAGACCAGCTTCCTGACTCCCCACCTTCCCTGCCTACTAGGCCCCTCCTGCTGCCTGCCCACCACACTCCAGCTACCTCTTGTCCGAGGGGTAGAGTTCGACAGTCAACACATCCAGTGCGTTCCAGGAGGCAATGCTGACCCCCCCAAAAAGGCAGAGAAGAGCAATCATGGCTGACTCGCTGTTTCCAAAGGACAGAAAGAAGCAGGAGACGCAGGACATCACACTGGAACCAGCTAGAGGAGGAGAGGACCGAGCAACATGAGCCTGGCCAGAACAAAGCCATTCGCCACCCACCTTGTCCTATCAGCTAGCTTTGAGGGCAGACCAGAATGAGGCTCGCTTTCCCTCCAAGGTGAAAAAAGAGCTTTTCACACATCCTCAGCCCCCTTATAATGATCTCACTACTGATGGCTGTCAAGTCAGAATCAACTCATAGCTGAACCTCCACTGGGTTTCCAAGGCTGTAAATCACACAGGAGGAGAATGCCCACCTTACTCCCTTGGAGTCACCGATGGATTTGAACTGCCAGGGAGGGTTAGCAGCACAACTCCCTATGGACTACACCACCAGGGACCCCTTATTAATAACAGCCACAACCACTATTTATTCAGTGGGCTAAACATGCATTGATTTAATCATCAACTGTACAAGGCAGGTACTATTATCATCCCCATTTTGTACATAAGACAACTGAAGCTCATACAGTTGAAATAATTTTTCCAAAGTCAGCAAGTGGTAGAACTGACAAATCAAAACCCAGGGCACCAATGTTCTTGACCACTTGCTATTCTGCATACACCCCAAGCCAGGCCACACTCCTTCTCCAGTCATTACCAAAGTAGAGGACAAGATAGAGAACCTTCTCTGGCCAAATTCTTCCACAGTCCAAAGTGAGATGCCTGCTAACAGCCTTCCCCCAACTCCTGGAATCTTCCCCAAATCACTTTTGTCCCACAACCGCCTTGCCTCTCCCCCATACCAAGCATTCGAAGTCTGCCGATCTTGTCCATGAGCAGGGCAGAGACGATGTTCCCAGGAAGCACAGCCAGTGTCCCCAAGAAGCTGACGAAGTACACCATGTAGGCCCCTTCACCTGTCCCTGTTACATCTAATGGGCAGCCCTCCTTGCTATGCAGGAATGTGCTGTTGATCAGGCGGCTGTTCACAAACTTGTACTTAAACAGGTCTGGGTGACAAGACAGGCAGGCAGTCACAGCAAAGGAAGAGGGAGGGAGGCAGCTACTGCTTATGGCGTGGGGCTCTGCTTTTGTGGGATGTAGTGGTGGGATCTCTCAAAATCATTCAGGGCACTCATTGCAAAGCATCAAATACTATCACTATGGAAACTAGGAATCTTCAGCCCTTGTCAAAAGTGACCAAACTCTAGCAAATGAAGCAGTGTGGCTGGTTGTTTCCAAGTATTTACATTAATCTACTTTACTTCTTATTCATTCCTTTTGTCTACCTTAGCAGTCTACAAGCAGTAGTAGGGGCTGTGGACTTAGGAAACATTTGTGAGAAAAAATATTAAAATTTATATGAGAAGTCCTATTATTTTTCCCTGCAAGGTGGGAGAAGCTCACCTAGTGCTCCAGTTAGAGGTGGGAAACCTCAGTCTAACAAAATCAGCACTTCAAATGCATGCAGTTTGAAATTCACTGTTAAAGAAATGGATTCATGCAATTATTCCCAACCTTCCCCCACCAAATATCCCTTGTACTATTTTTCCATTTTTTTCCCTGGGACACTGTTTTGAAGATTTCTGCCCTCCTCAAAGCATATTAATAGCACCACACCAAGTTGTTCAAAATGCAGCCAAAGGCAAAGAAACTTGATGTTTTGGGCCACATATTCTATCACAGGAAAATGTTCTTTTTCTGTGAGATTTTAAAAATTCTTGGTGATACATAGCAGGCCCTCATGTCACCTTCCCAGGGGTCCAGAGATGTCAGGGTGAGAACCCTGAGCTGGTAAATGAGAAAGGTCCTTCTCCCCCTCCTCACAGTCCACTCCCAGCCCTTCCATCTGAGGCCCACCAGCCACCCCATCTTACCAGTGTTATAGAACACAGTGTTGATGAATGTGCAATTCCGGAAAAACGTGTTAGTGGATGTGACATCCTCAAAATAACACTCCTCAAACAAGGAATCCTCAAAGGACACTGACTTCAGACGAAGCCCAATGAACCTGTAAGGCCAAGGTAATGAGAGCTCCTTCCCCCTCATCTTCATGCCCTCATCCTCCAAGACTCAGTCCCTTAGTGAAGTAATGTGAAGGGACACAAGGAGAAAAAACAAGTATTTTCCTCAAAATCCTTGTCTCGAACCCCCAGACTCATAAGAGTTAAGATGTAAAAGACAGGGAATGAGTAGAGTTTAAAGGTGCCAACATACTTGTCATTGAAATACTGCCCCCCTCGGTGGATCTGATTCTCCAGTGTGAAGTTAAAGGTCACGTGCTCTACTCGCTCCCCGGGGAACACTTTGGTGCGAGATGCGTAGTCTACTGCCTGCAGATGGCGGATCATGTCAGGAAACCAGACAGTCAGGCCATAGTAGCTGAAGAACCAAGGGCAGTGAAAACAGACAAGGTTTCGGAATTACAGCCAAGCAGCTCAACACAGAGAGAAGGGAGGAAGGGAGTGAGGAGAGCTGGAGAACTCAACCGGTTCATGTTGCTCTCGCCTCTCACCTTTCCTCACTTGACCAATAGCTGTGGTTCTGTTGAACCTTAAATTCTTCTTACTCACTCACCAAACTCTTGCTTACTTCTCAGATATTCACTTTTCCCTCTGCCTAAAACACTGCATTTTCACTCTACCTTTGGCCTGTCTAACTCCTGTTTATCCTTCAGGATATCCATTCCCAAGTGTGGAATGGGAACCCCTCTTATATATTCCCATTTTGTTGTTATTTGTTATGTGCCATCGAGTCTGAACTGACTCAGAGCTGACCCTCCAGTGAGTTTTCACAGGTAGTAAATCACATGGGAGAAGCCTGCCCATTGGTCTCCCTTGGAACAATGGGTGGATTTGAACTGTGTGCCTTAGGGTTGACAGCTTAATTTCTTATCCGCTAGGCCACCAGAGCTCCCTACATGTATTTCTATAGTAATTTGCAAACTCCATAAGAACTGGGACCTCGTCTATTTCATCCCAGCACAATGTGTGGTCAGCCTATAATACAAGTTTATTGAATAAATTAATTAGATGGAGGATGGAAGATCAGAGATAATATGAATAGTACCTACTCTTGTTCTTTCCCTTCATTCTCCTTTCCACTCCCCTTCCTGAACAACTTAGTGTTGCTGTGATGCTACACACTGTTCCATAGTCTTGTCAAATACCATAATAGTTGCCCATTATGTACAGTGTTTGGATGAGTTTCCTGACTGATTTATGCTGAGAAGCCAGAGTGGCATCCACTTCCTAAACTAGATGCCTCTGGAAACTCTACAAACTCTCTAAACTCTATAAATACACAGAAATTATGTTAGTCATAGAACAGAGTTCTATACAGAAATGATGTTAGTTACAGGAACAGAGTTCAGGTCTTTTGTGAAAAACTTACTCTCAGTCATAATCAACTTGACGACACTTAACCACTGCTAAGTGAAACTAGTGCTGTTATATCTGGAGGAACGCTCTTTGTACATCACTCTTTGTCAATGTATTATATGAGGTAACCTGGGTTTGCTGTGATGCTGAACCTTGTACCATTGGGGTATCAAATACCAGAATGGTTTCCCAATGTGGACAGTGTTTGGTGAAGCTCCCAGTTGTAAAACAGGCTTGGAAGCAGGAGTGACATCCAATTCCTAAACCACATGTCTCTGGAAACTCTATGAACTTGGAATTGATAATAGTTATTGAAAGACATTATGTCTTTTGTTTGTAGAGTCACTATGAGTTGTGCTTGACTTGATGGCAATCAATAACAACAACCCAAACTACATACCATCACAACCACAACATACCACCAAGCACACCTACCCCCTCACCTGAATGACATGGTGAACCACACGCCCATCATCATCAGAGTGATGCGTCGGTATTCTGGCCCAAAACAGGAAAGGAAATTCCCCCAAACCTAGGCAGGACAGAATAATGTTAGACTGACCACTTTGTAACACCCATGGAACCCCTTTTTGCTGCCTTTCCACCTCCTTTCAGTGCACCTGTCACTCCCCTATACTCAGACCCCACCCTATTCTTTGACTTTCCCACTTGCCTCTCTTTTCCATTCTCATTATTTTCTCTCCATCCTACCTGACCCCCCAGACTCAAGGCCCGGACTCCCCAGCGCTGGTACCAGGTCCCCGTGTCTGACTGGATCTCAATCAGCTCATCTTCTTGATGAATTGTCTTAATGTGGGTTACCTAGACCAAGAGAATGAGCCAGCAGTCACATGGTTTGTAGTCCCCAACCTCTTCCAGGTACCTCAGTTCTCATGTGACAGTGAAATGGGAGGCAGGGATGAGTATATTACCCAGAGAAGTCTCAATGAAGTGGAATGTGGTCTGTGATGTCTAGGAAGGTGGGAGATGTCTAAAGATGGGACAGGTGGGGTCCCGGGTTTTGGGCTTTGGGGAGGGTGGTGGCTTACTGAGAACACTCGCTCAGGATGGCCTTTGGCGCGCATGTTGGTGTCGTGTACTTGCTTCAGCACCATCCAGGCCTCATCGTGCTTCCCGTTCTAGAGCCACAAACATAATCCCCATATTCAAGTCAGGCCCTCCCGGACTCTGGGTTCCCCCTTCCAACAACACCTTTGGAATCAGACACAAAAAGACCTCCACCGCCTGAGCCCATGAGCAACCTCTGGCTTAGAGGCACATGCACATGACATTCTGAAAGAGCCTCAAGCTGAGGGCAAGATATAATCAAACTTGAACAAAAAGAAGGATGAGTCCAGGGGGGGAAAACACAAGCACAAATCCTAAGGATCCTCTGTGATAATGGAGAGAGAAAATGGGATATAAGGGAGATGACACCCTAACCTTGCTGGAGCATATACAGCTGAAGGGGGAAGGGGCAGAGAATGGGAATTTATCTTGTGCTATAAAGTCAGGGCCTGCACAACTCTTAAGCCTCCATGGTCGCCTGATTCCTCTACCCACAGAATTTCTCTGGAAACAAAACCCAAGACAAAGGATGCAAAAGAAAGTCCCCTGGAGTAAGGACTTTGTGAAAAAGCAGGGCATTCACATAAAATCGATCCAAACGCTCAGTGGGTATCTGAACACAGGAGTCCCTGCCATCCCCCTCTCTCAGCCCAGCCCCATTCACCTCCAGGAAGAAGCGGGGGCTCTCAGGCTGCGTGGTCAGAGCCCCAATGGCAAACACAGATGGAAAGGCGCAGACGAGAACAAAGACCCTCCAGCTGTGGAACTGATAAGCAGAACCCATCTGAAAACTCCACCCTGGCAGGAGACAGAGTAACAAACGTCAGCAGAGAGCCCGTCATAGGAGAGGAGGGAGAGAGTCTCAAGTGGAGTCCCCAGGGGCTGCTCACCGTAGTGGGGGATGATGGCCCAGGCCATAGCAGCTGCGTAAACGCCACCAATCATCCAGAACATGCAGAGCCAGCTCAAGTGCTCTCCACGCTTCTCCTGCGCCAGGAACTCGGAGAAATAGGAGAAGACAATGGGGATGGATCCTCCGATCCTGGAGTCATTGTGAGAATTCAGGGTCAGATAGTGGCCTTCTCCCCGGTCCTCAAGCCCAATACTCTGGATCCCCAAGCTCCTTCCATCTCCCAGACATATTTTAAGAGACTCGTTCTCGCAGAGTGTCCTACAAGCTCCTCTCTTTCCTCACCACAATCATCAAGCACGCATCCTTGAGACCATGGGAAGCAGGCAGGCAAGTTTCAGCAGAAAGGAAGGAATAAGCATTAAGACTACAGATGACTCCAGACTTGAAACAGAAGGAAGATGATTAAGATGATTACAGAACAGAGAAAAATATCCCAAGAAAACAGAAAGGCAAAAGAAGTCTGGGGGTAAATAATTGAGGAGCCAGCCCAGAAAGAGCTTATGGACAAGTCAGAATAGGAACGTATGCAGGTGGATGAAGAAATGTAGGAATGAGGTGGGTCAAAACTTCAGCTTTCACAGCAGTACTGGAAAGGTCTGCTGTCAAATGCAGGAAATATGTAGACTGGGAAAGGAATGACTTCAGGATCCTCTGTAGCCCGGGAGTGAGGCTGAAACCCACTAGGGCTTTTTTTTTTTGGAGGCAGACTTGGAAATGGGACTAGAGGTTCAGGTGGAGCACTCAGGAAGGGACCTTCAGGTCAGGCAGCAAACAGGTTCTGGACAAAGGGAAGCTGATATAAGCGGGTAAAGGGAAAGGTGGGATTCATTAATTCATTCAACTCACACATATTTAAGGTACATTTGGTACACCTAGAGAGATCCCAGTGACCAAGAGAGGTTTAGGAGATGGTCACTCACCCAACACCAGAAAGGAGGCGGCAGAAGAGAAAAGTGCCGTAACCCTGGACGAACGATGAGAAAAAGGCGAAGACGCTGTTGACTGAGAGGGAGATGAGTAGACACTGTCTCCGCCCCAGCCGGTCGGCCAGACCTCCCCAGAGGAAGGCTCCCACCATCATGCCCAGGTAGACGATGAGGCCTGGAAGGAGGAACACAGAAGAGGTATGAGCTGAACATCTCAATTCTCTCATTTTGCTGAACCTTAAATGAGCTGAAACCGCAGAATGTGTCAAGGATCTGAAGGATTTCTAGAAGCTAAACGTCCAGAGAGGTTAGATGGTGTGTGCAAAGGGAAGGCCATTTCTGCAGACCAGAAGTTCAAGGACAGGAGAATCCCAGAATCCAAAATTCATCTTCTTTACTCCTCTCCCTGTCTCACTATTTCTATCTTGTCTCTTTTACACTCACACATACAGAACAGAGAGTGAAAGGGAGGGAGCTCGCCTAGTCCAAGGAGTGACTGCCTAGATTCCCAGTGTTTCCAGCAACTTCTCTGTCCTCCCCTCCTGCCTTCTCGATGCCCTCAAAGCATCAGACAGTCACTCTGTTTATGTGGGGAAATATTTCAATCCCCCCTCTCCTCTCTGAATCTTTAAGTAAGTTCCCTCCAAATCCATCCTTTACCCTTTTTGGTCCCAACACTTTCACTTCCCAAACTCTTCATTTCTTAATGCCTTTGGAGTATCAGAGTTGGAGTCGATCATCTTAACTTTAAACTCTGAATTTTATCCATGCCTAGATCAATCTCAAAGAAGAAGGGACCTATCCAAGATTCCATAGCAATTTAGGGGTTGAGCAAAGCCTAGATCTTTTCTCAGCAAGTCTAAGGTTTTCTCCTTTTAGGAATGGCCATCAGAGACCGTATCCTGGAACTTGTACATTCCCAATACTGGAGTGAAAGCAAATGTATCCAGTGTTGTTCGCTAAAAATCACAAACTAACCATCTCAGGTCATTAGAATTCTAACTTCTTGTTCCCCAGTGAGGGAATGGGAGAATATGATGGAAGACTATGAAGGAACAAAATGATGTCCCATCCCCTCATGGCTACCTTTTGGAGAATCACTTAAGCAGGTCACTGCCCAACCATCATCATTCCAAGCCCTAGTCCACCTACCCTCCCCAGGACCCTTATCAGACAACCTCACTACGAGCCAGCACCAAAAATGCACGAGGGAACCCTAAGCCCTCTGGGGATTCCTTGGGAACAGATCCTAAGGAATTCAGTGAGGCGGATTCTCAGGAGAAAAGAAGTGTCTAGAGTTTGGGGAGGGACAGAGCTGGAGTGTCCCTGGAGTGTCTCACCCAGCATGCCTTTGTTGGAGTCAGACAGGCACATGTCCTTCTCAGCACTGGGCAGCACGAAGCCCACCACGAAGACTTCAACACCGTCAGCCATTAGCGCTAGACCAAGCACGAAGTAGAGTGTCCACTGGAAACGGCCATGGCCACACTCCCGCAGGATGGCCTCGTACTGCTGGGCTAGTTCTTCGCGCTCCTTCCGCAGCTGTGCCTCCCCCCGGCCTCCCGGGGGACCTTCCCCATCACCCATGCCCACTCTTACTCCAGCAAGGGGTGCCCCATCTGCCATCCGCTCGCCTTTGCCCCCAGACTCTGCCCGGGGGATGCCCTGATATTCCCCCTCATAGATCTCGTCCTCCTCATCATGGCCCTCAGTGGCATCGCTGGACGCACCACCTTCCTCCTCATCCTGGGTCCCTTCGCCTCGGTAATAGCCATCAGCGGGGGCAGGGTAATCATCATCATCATCTTCCTCTTCAAAGCGGGAGTAGGATCTACGGGAATATTCATCCTGGACTCTGTCCAGGCCCTTCACCACCTTCTTGGCTGCATGCTTCTTGACTTCCTTGGCAATGTCTTTGGCTCCACGGATGAAAGCTGCTCGATCTCTGAAGCCTTCTTCCATGATGGGGTCTTGGGGGCACTTGCCTAAATCTCCCCCGCCCCTTGCTCCTTATTCAGCTTTCTGTTCAAGAACTTGTGGAGTCAAGAGGGCCTTTGCTCACAGCTCTGGTTAGGATGTGTTCTTCCCTATCTTTGGACACAGAATAAAAGGAAATAAGAGCTGGTTAGTCCGCATATAAGAGAAGGGCAGGAGAAGAGATTGGTCCTATGTGCAGTGCAGCTGAGTGGGTGGGGAAGGGAGAAGGGTAGTGGGGGGAAGGGAAGGGATGGGGAGCCAGTTTGGAAAGGCTAAGCTGAGGAGCCAGGATAACTCAGAAAGACCTGTCACTTCTTCACCAGGAGCCACTAGAGATCTAGAAAACAGAAAGAGAGAAAAAGTCAGCATGGAGATGAGCCCCATGGGATCCACCCAGAGTCCTGCTCTGCTGACTCACAGCCCTTCTCCAGACCCCTCTCCCCATACTAAGGTCAGACCCTCTTACTTTATTACCAACCTGTAAAAAGCAAGACAGTAAATGTGAGGAACCGGAATGCAATCCCTTACTCTAGTCTGGCTCCTTGTTAGGAGTGAAGCTTAGGGAGATTCAATGTACAGAAGGCAGATCAAGTCTTCCAACCTGTTGCCTTCAGCTCAGTGATGGCCTCTGAAGATGGGACTTCAGATTTCACTGCCATCAATTCGGTTTAGAAATATAGGGATCCTCTTTGGGGTTTCTGAATCTAAATCTTTTTGGGGGAAAACTGCCCTCCTTATCCCTCAAAACAGCTGGTAGACTTGAACTGTCTAACTTTAATAACCCAACATGTTACAGGCTATGCCACCAGGGCTTTTTTTCAGGTTAATTTGTTATTGTGTGTTGTTGAGTCAGGACCAATTCATGCTGACCCTCCAGTGTGTTTTCAGAGACAGTAAATCACACAGGAGGGGACTGCCCATCTTCCTCTTAGAGAGCTGCTTCTGGATTCAAACCACCTGCCTCCGAGCTGGCAGCTCAATCCCCTATGAAATCTCTCCCTCTCATTGCCAGCCAATCAGAACTGGCTCATAACTGACCTTCCAGCGGGTTTTCACAGACTGTAAATCAACCGGAGGAGATCTGCCCATCTATCTCCCACAGATGGTGGATTTAACCTGCAGGCCTTTGGACTGGCAGCACAGCTCCTCACCACGAGCCATTAGAACTCCATTTCATGTTGATGTTGTTGTTGTTATGTGCCATCGAGTGACTCATACTGACCCTGTGTACAACAGCTCTGAACCCTGCTCTATCTTGAGCCAATCTCATTGTCTCTGACATAGCTACCTCCTTTACCCCAGTCACAGAGTCAATCCATCTCATTCAGGGTCTTCCTCTCTTGCACTGTCCCTCCACTCTTATAAGCATGGTGTCCCTCTCTAAGGACTGGTCCCTCCTTGCATGGTTACAGGCCCCACAAAAAAGAGTTTTCTCTCAGCACAGTTCAGCTTCCACAAACATACAGGTTTGGGCCTGGCTTCCTGCTTTGCACTTATCTGATTGATCAAGGATCATTTCATACTATCCGTGTCTCAGTTTCCTCTTATTTGAAAAGGAGAAAGTGAGAAGTAAATAAAAACGTGCATATAAATTTCTAATCACAGTACCGTAAAAAGTGATCAATAAATATTAGTAATCAGTACGCTTTATGAGATAGCAGTACAGTAAGATATCCAGTGCTCCTCCATCTTTGGACGCTCTTGAGGGTGAACATCAGGGACAATGCCAGGTTCAGTGCAAAACATGTGACAGACAGATGACCACTCTAACTGATCATACACACGTTATTTAACCTCAGAGTCTTGATACTTGAATTGAGAAGAATAAACCCTATTTCTCACAGTAATTTTTCTGTAAATACTAGTTTATTCCTTCCTATTAGATTTAAAGATGTGAAGGAAGCAGAAGACAGCAAAGTGGTCACACTTGAATGCTGTTGCCCAGGATGACTTCAAAACAAAGAGTCTCAAGACTCCTGTGTTCAAAGTCATTCTAACAGCTGGGCACATATTCCCTCCCTCCAAACAAACCAAAAACGGTTGTAAAGAGGGAGGCCTGAGAAGAGGGAAGTTCAAAAACTAAGAAAAGGTGAGAAGTAACTGTTGCCACCTTGCTCAGGTCATGGGACCTCTGGGGGGTCCACCCCATGGGGGTGGGAATGGAAATGACTGCTCAAGTTCTTCCGTTTCCAACATGCGGGTCTAAGGTAGGGTCTAAGGTCTGTGGGCACACCTCTTTCCTCCAGGGACCCTCTTCTTAATCCTTCCTAATCCTTTCTGCTTCTCCTCCAGGAGTCAAAGAAAAAAGAGTCCACAAATACCGCATTGCGTAGGAGGCTGGTATAGAATGAAGGGGGCCTTGGGCTTCCCCTCAAAAGAGACATTTTTCAGAGAGGCACAAGGGAGAATTCCCCTTCCTTCACGGAGGCAGAGGAAGCAGGACTAGATCCTGATCAGAGATCACTCCCCTAAAAATATCCTGCTTCCCTCTGTTCCCACCCAACCAGGGCCTTCATTAAATGTCTCTCTCTCTCTCTCTCTCTCACACACACACACACACACACACACACACACACATGCTCTCACACACACACACACTCACTTACACTCTGGCTCTGGTAGTAAAGAATAGGTAGGATGTATTTCGGAGAAGCATTGGCAAGCAAAGCCTTGCCCCCTCAGGACAGATGTGGGCAAAGGACCACAATAACCAGAAGCAATGACCCTTATGTCACCTTCTTTTCCTTCATGGTTCAGGGCCCAGATCAACCCCCATGAAACAGAGCAAACTGTGGAATCCTTTCATTTCCTGACAATTTGCTTTCTTCTCCTTTCTACTTCCATTCTTCTCCAACCAAAACGCTAAAAGGAGGCAGATGAACCTAACAGAAGCTGTACCCTCTGTTTTTTAACATTATTTACTCTTGAGAGGTACAGGTAGGGTAGAAAAGGCCCTCAGAGCCACAGCAAGATGCAACGGCTCAAAAGACAGCTACCCGAGGGCCAGCAAGCCCAGGAGGTCAGGAGGGAGAGAAAGAAGACAATTTTCTTGAGCTGGTGAGGAAGTAGTGCTATTTTTAGCCCCAAAAGCAGCACAGGGTGGCTAAGCCTAGGGGAGAGAGACAAGATTTGGAGAGGCGGAGGTTAAAGGAGACAAGATTCAGGGTTACGTGGCCCTTTAAGGCTGCCTGGCTTCACCTGACCGGAAAAATGTGCCCAAGAGAGATTCTGCTGAGCGTGGAAAGGGGTGAGGGAATCTTGAGCAAATGCTTCCATTCCAGACCCTGCACCCAGTATTGGATAAGATGGGGGCCCAGAAGTTCCCCACCCCACTAAAGCTCTGACTTTGGGATCCACCCTGATTCCTAGTCTACCCTAGCCCAGGTGACAAGGTCATTAAGAAGCAGTCCCTTAACAAAACCTCCTGGGGTAGGGAGGGAGTGGTGGTGAAATTGTGAAGGAGAGCACCCCTCCACATAACAGCAGAGAGATGGAGCTGCAGCCCCCACCCCAGAGCTGCTAAGGCTGCACCACGTCCCCACAGCCTCCTCCAGGGTTAAGCAAATGGGAGCATCAACAGTTCTAATGGAGGAAAAAAAATAAATGTGTCAGCTGAGAATGCATAAGAAGGAGCATGGGAAGGCAGGGCCGCAGGGAGAGCCCTCCCCATGCAGAGGCACAGGGGTGCCCCTACCAAAATGTGTGGTGACCCCCCATCTCCTCTCTGCTTTTGTATTTGAGAGGAGGCTCTAGAATTTACTGAAATAGCTTCTCAGTGCATCCCTCCAACCTTGGCTCTGCTCCTGGACAAGTGCCCGACATCGCTTGACATACTCTCCCCCCAACCCACCCGTTGAGCAACAGTCTCAAGCCCCCTCCCTGCCCCCCCATCAGCGCCTCCAACCCTGGAGGTTTTATCATCTCTGCCCATCCCAGCGTTACCATTCTCCATTCCTCTTGCCTCTCTTCACCTACCTCTCCAGTGCTCCCCCCTCTACCCCCCCAAATCTAAAAGACCATCCACTGAGGCAGCATCCCTGGCCTTAGCCAAGGTCATTTATCATTCATTCAGACGAGGTAGGAAAGAACTGCCAAGGTGAGGAGGGGGTAGGAGCTGGAGTTGGAGAGAACCCCATCCTACCTAACACCCCCCACCCCAGGAGGGCAGTGGGCACTTGGGTGAGGTAGAGAAAAACATCCCTTCTACCCCTTCCTTCACACATACAAATCTGGGGTTTCTATGATATAGATTTATATAAATAGATATATCTATCTATACACACACACACAACTGAAATGAAATAAATCTCCATCTCCAAACCTTTACCAGCCCCCAACCCCCCCTCACCCCTCGAGCAGGGACGGTCACCCTCCCCATAAGCAAAGCATCGGAGGATAAAATGGCTGCAAGGCAAGGAAGGATGCGCTGCCAGGGGCGGGGTGGAGGTAAGAAGCTGGGAGAGGGGTCTCACCTGGACTGGGTCCCCCGGGGAAGGGAATCCCGGGGAGGCGGGGGTCCGGGCGCGGGGCTGAGGCAGCGGCGACGGCTGCTCGGGCTCTGGGAAGCGGCACTGCAGACCAGCCCCC